GATGCACAAGGACACAGGTAGGAAGTGGGGAAGAGAGTGCTGTCTAACCCACCACTGGTGAGCAAATTTCCCCTTTGGTAATGATGAGCACCCATGGCAAAGAACGGCGAGTTAGTTTACTAGGGCTGCAGTAACCAATTACCACAAATGCGCAAATGGGTGGCTGAAAACAACAGAAATTGATTCTCACACAGTTCTGCAGAGGATCCCAAACCTAAAATCCCAAATCACAGTTTTGGTATGACCACACACTTTCTCCAGGCTTGGGGGAGATTGTTTCCTCATCTGGCCTCTGGTGGTGACTGATGGTCTGGAAACCTTTGGTCACCTTTGGCTTACAATTGCATCACTCCAATCTCTGCCTTCATCTTCACAGGGTCTTCTCTTGTGTCTTTCTCTCTGTGTCTACATCTCATCTTCTTCTGCCTCACTTTCATAAGTCAACCGACTATGCCAGACTAGGGAGCAGACCACAGCTGTTAGCTTCAGAAATCTCACAAAATGCTTCTTGAGCTTAAGTAGGCAGCCTTCCATAGTTTTTCTTCATCCAGTTTCATAAATATGCCTCTCTGCAGAACGGATCAGCAGCCCTAATGCTGCTAACACCAATGTGGCTTGATCTTCTAGATTGCCTATAATTATGACAAAACCCTCAGATTCTGCAGCTTTATGACACAGGGGTAGTTGAGCATGAGGGGGTATGCACAATAAATGTGTCTGCAAGGATGCCTACTTAGAGCACAGAGTGTTGGGCAGGACATGTGTGGAACTGTACCAACACACCAAGAGACCAGGCCCCTGGCTTCACAAATAAAAACCACAGTTGCTCAGGCAGCTCACCCCACATCCTTCCACACCATAGCTGGGGTTTGTGTTTTTGTTTTTTTTTCCGGTATAATGCTCCTGTAGTTACAATGTCATAGTGGGACAGGAGCCAAAGCAGTAGAAAGGGGAGTGGGAAGAGGGGAATGTAAATGTAGTTCTCTCAGCCTCGCTAACATGTGACTCATCTACCCGTAGAGAACAGGCTTGGCTATAACACAGAGAATCATTTTTCTTTCTGCCACTTGGGATTTTTGTAGTCCTTGGAAAAGACCTTTGGGAAAAAACAGTAGAAGTCATTTCCAGAACTCAAACCCCTGATTTCTAATTCTCTGATTGACCGTTCTTTCCAAGATGGCTATCTGACTGGTCAGGGCTCCTGAGACAAACAAGAGCTTCTTCTCCACCTTTATCAGATCTTATTGATAAATAACATATTGCCAGGAGATTACATAACAACTCCTATTTGTGGAACATGTTATAGTTTGCAAAGCATTTCACATAGATTATTTCAGTACTCTGACAATTCCTGTGTGAATCTGGCTACTTAGAAAAGATGCCTGGCCTCTTGGACAGATGGTATTTCAAATAGGATATTGATATAGTGCCTGGATGGTGCCTTGTGCCCCACAGTAAGGACAGAAGGTATTTGTTTGTTTGCTTGTTTTAGTATTTACATAATTGTGTGATACTTCCAAAGCTACCCCAAATTTACATATATATATATATATAATTCTGTATGTAACTCTATACATGTGTCATTTGGTTTTTTTTGAGGTTCTGGGGATCAAACCCAGGGCCTTGTGTATTCTAAGCCTGTTCTCTCTCACCGAGCTATATTCCCAGCCCCAAATTATATTTTTGAGTATAATATTCAGTATTCCCAGAGGGTAGGAGTCATGCCTTCAATTAACATTATGATGAATTTGCTCATATTTGGGCATTTTATTGGAGATGCCAAGCAACAAGAACTCTGGATGCTTTAGTTCTATTCAATCTGTTTCCAATCCTTTGAAGGAATTTAGACTTCGGTTCCCTGCAAGCTCTGCAGAATCCCAGACCCTGAGGCTGTCATTTGCAAACCACTGCATGCAATAACCGTGTGTGGGAAGCCTGCACATATCATCTGTGTGGATTATGGACGGTTTTGCAGACTCAGCAAAGTGGATCCATACAGCTTGAACAGAATCAGAGTCAAGTATCAGCCTGCATGAGGAAAATGATTTCCAACCAGATGGAAATTTCCCACGAGGAGACTAGAGTTGAAGGCTGGTTTTTACTACTTTTACAGAAAGTCACAAGATCACAGATTCAAGACTGAAAGGGATCCTGAGGCCCACTCAGCTACTCCTCTTTCATTTTATAACAAGGAAACTAAAGCATGGAAGAGCGAAATGATGAGCCCAAGATCACATAGCCTAAGTACAACGCTCTTTCTATTATACTATATTATCTGTTCCAGAAAACACCTCAATAAAGCCACATATTGTTTTGCAGATCAAAGAAACTGGCATTATTTAGAGTCATGCTCATGGTCTGCCCAGCTTCCAGTGTGAACATGAGACCTTCATTTGCTGTCACCAGCAGCTTTTGAATGAGTTACCTTGTGATGCCTTATGTCAAAAGTAGTTATCATAAGCAGGACCAAAACATCTGTAAATGGAGTTTCATGGCACAGAGTTTCCATGACATGAAACTGGAGCAATGCTACATCATTCATGCCTTATTGGATAAGCAGTATCAAATATATGCATTAGGCTGGGAGGCTGAGGAAGGAGGATGGAAAGTTCAAGGCCAGCCTTAGCAATTTATCAAGACCTATCTCAAAGTAAAAGAAATAAATAAAGGGCTGGGGATGGAGCATAGTGGTAAAGCACCCCTTTCAATCCATAGTACCACAAAACAAACAAAATTATACATAATAAATGTGTGAACAGGCAGGTTTCCACTGCTCATATGTGGTTCCTTCTAACCACCATGGAAAATTTGCGTGATCCCAAAAATGGATTCTGGGAAAATCTGGCATTAAGCAGGAATATGTCCCTTGCTCATGAATCCATTATAGCTCACTGTCACCTTTCTGCCTTTGCATTCCTTGCTCCCTCTGCCTGGAATGCCCTCCCCTTGCCCTCATTTGATCTCTCAAGATTCAGTTTAAGTGTCACTGTCTTTGGGAAGACTTTCTTGACATTGCCTCTTCTTTACTCCAAGCTGATTTAAAGTGTACCTTTTTGGTGCCCCTTCCTCCCCATCCCTGTGCTTCCTCTCCCCCCACACTGGTCACACACCCTTGTTGTTGAAAGGTACATGGTTTTATTGCTCTTTTCAATCAGAAAGGTGGGACATCTCTGTTAGAGGGTGTTCAAAAGGGTTTATAGGGTTTGACTTGTGTTGGGTGATTTGGGGAAGATTTCAAGGTCGTGGGGTTTTGTTCTGGATTGGAGGCTTTCAGGACATGTGGGTCATCTTATGATTGTCTATTGAAGGGATCAGAACATGCCACGCCCGACTATGCCACTTTGATTTACTTCTTATTTTGAGCTGAAGGCACTTGAGAAACAGCAAATGCAATGAAGATTCTGGATGCCCCCTTTCCAACTAAAAACAAGTCACAAGATTTCCCATGAGAAAGGTGCCCTTCCTGCACTAGGGAAAGAACATTCTTATCATCAGAAGCTGAGAGTCCATCTTGGAATGGACCTGTACAAACCTAATAAAATAACTTTTATCTTCCATTATTTCCCCCATATACTTCCTAGTCCACTGTCTAGTCACTTCCTAGGCAGTAAATTGTGATTTACTGCCCCTGGTTCCAGCTTCTGCTTGTCACATCCTCACAATTGATTGTTCTTTGTGTAAAAGGGTACACAGCCTAAGCTTTTGGACCTAATAACATCTTTGGGTCTTCCTCTTCCTTTAGAAGTCTCTCATGTACCTTCAGAAATATTATATAAGGGGCTGGGGTTGTGGCTCAGTGGTAGAGTGCTTGCCTAGCATGGGCAGGTTCGATTCTCAGCACCACATAAAAATAAAGGCATTGTGTTGCGTCCATCCACACCTAAAACATAAATATTAAAAAAAAGAGTTAAAAATATTAAAAATTTGTATGCTTTTTTACTGTTAATCTGTTTTACATCAATTTAATTCTTAGGCCCAACCATTGACCCTAGGAAGGGAGGAGGTTTTTCCTCCCCTACAGTATATTCTAGAAAAAATTTTAAATTAAACTCATTTTAAACTGATACTTAAGAATATACAATTAGAAGGCTGCGGTTGTAGCTCAATGGTAGAATGCTTGCCTGGCATGTGTGAGGCACTGGGTTCCATCATCAGCACCACATAAAAATAAATAAAGGTACTGTGTCTATCTACAACTAAAAAAATTTAAAAAATATATAAAGTTAGACATATATGGGGTACAGTCTGGTGTTTCAATTGATATATATATATATATACATTGCACGTTTTAAAACAATCAGGTTAAATATATCTATTTCAAACATTTATCATTTCTTTTTTTTGGTGGGGAGTATCGCGGATTGAACTCAGCAGCAGTCAACCACTGAGCCACTTCTCCAGGCCTATTTGTATTTTATTTAGAGGCAGGGTCTCACTGAATTATTTAATGCCTCGCTTTTGCTGAGGCTGGCTTTGAACTCGAGATCCTCCCGCCTCAGCCTCCCAAGCCACTGGGATTACAGGCCTGGCACCGTGCCCCCCGACTGACATTTATCATTTCTTTATGGTGGAAATCCTGCTAGTGTTGTTCAACATAAGGCACACTGTCGCTATCTATAGTCACCCTACAGCGCAACAGATAGTACACCGGACACTTCTTATCTAATCTCCGTAGTGACGTTAATAAAATCTATCCAGAAGAAGAAAACAAAGCTAGAGCTGTGATTGGTCCCAACTGGGGATGTTCGGTCAGTTGCGTAGCCTGGACAATGTTCCTATCTTTGCCTGTGTTCAGACACAAGCCACCAGGTCTTGCCAGGGCCATCACAACGGCAATGCCCAGGGGAAAGCCAGAGAAAAAAAAGCCACCGCCCTGCGCCGCGCGGGGAGGGGCCGGCCCCTCCTCCCACGCACGTCCCCGCACTCCGCGCGCCCCGCCTCCCCGGAAAGGGCGGGGCCCGGGGGGCGGGGCCGGGGGCGGGGCTGGGGCGCGACGCGAACTGGCCTGTGGCGTATTTGGCGGGAGGCTGGCTTCCCCCGGCTACCTGTGGCTGCGCGGGATTTCCAGTTTCCGCCCTGTCTCTCCCTGAAGCTTCTCAGTCCTCCCTCCATGGTCTCTGCGTAGGGCATAGTAGCCTTTCCCTCGGAGGACGCGATGGCTCCCAGGAAACGCCCGGAAGCCCCGAAGACCCCCAACGTGGCGGCGCGCCTCCGGAGCAAGAGAAGTCCCCGGGAGCTGGAGCCCGAGGCCAAGAAGCTCAGAGTGAAGGGCTCCGGTACTGCCTATGCCTGCTGCTTTAATGTTTCCGCAGTTTGGGAGGCCCGCGTGGGGTCGGGCGCCCCTAGGTTCTGAGGCAGCCCCAGGGCGCGGTGCCGCAGGTGGTGCTTTTCGCCGGCCGGTGCGTCTGTCGGCGCCGGAGAGTTTAAGCTTAATCCCCGCCCCCCGGTGGCAGGACGAAGCCGACGGGCTTTCACGTTCCCGTAGGTCCTAGGAATAATCCTAGCCTTCCTGGCTCGCCCGCTGCTGCATTTCGACCGGGCTTTAGCTGTATGTCCATGGTTTCAGCTGCGAGAGCCCGCAATCCATCCCTCCTGCCTGTCTTAGAAAGCTCATTCTCAGAGGCTTCAACCTGCAGTATAAGGAGCAGGGGCGGCTCAAAAGACTGGGGGTGGACCAAGTGGGTTTTGTCCATGAGAATAAAGAACTGGTTGTCTAGAGTTTGGGTACAATACATCTTGGCGATCCAGAGTTGCTTTTTTCTTATTATTGTTTAACATCCTCCCCCAAATAACCTTTTTAAAATATAGAGCTATTCCAGACTGTATGGATCCTGCTGGTTTCCAGGAGAACCAATAGAATTTGAAACTAATACTTTGTCACCTCAACATTATTGTAATACAGGATTTAAAGATGCTTCTTTTTGTTGGAAATGCATCTCAGTGGTAAAGCGCATGCCAGCTCGCCAGGCCCTGGGTTCCATTTCCAACACCCCTCAAAAAAACAAAACAAAAAAACTTTTCCTAAACAGTCACTGCTGCTATGCTGTCCTTTTATTGTGCATTTTATGTGATTTTAAGATTAGCACTCATCCCCACAGTGGAAAATGTTCTTTTTTCTTCTTCCTCTTCCTCTTTTTGATTAATGGCACTAGAGATTGAACGCAGGGGCTCACATTTGCTAGGCAAGCCCTCTGCTGAGTTAACCCCAAGCCCCCCTCCCCCCTTTTTTTTTTAAATTCTGAGAACAGGAACTCACTAAGTGAGTTGCCTGGGCTAGCCTTAAACTTGCTGTTTTCCTGCCTCTGTTCCCCCCCCCCTCAGTTTCTGTGATTAGAGGCATGCGCTGCCACACCCAGCTATTCTTATGTATTTGTTTGGCTCAGCTCTCAGGAACCCTGCAAAATCATATTTAGTTTCACTTAAAAATTAGTGTTTGGGGGAGTTTGGGGAAGGAGTGAGCTTCTACTCCTCTCTTCTTTCTTGTGCTGAATGGGACTAAACAGACTATAGAAAAGTGATGTGACAGATTGGCCACGCTGAATGAAACAGGCTTTCTTTATAGGATTTCAGCTGAAAAACCTTCCCTGAGATCAGAGAGGAAAATATGTGTCTGTTCTTCTTGGCAGGTTCTAGCAGGAGATATGACTCAGGCTGCCTTTGGGCGGGGTTGGCTAGCCTGCAGGTCCCGCCACCAAGCAGCAGCATCGTCAGGGCCCTCCACCAGTATAAGTTGGGCAAAGCTGCCTGGCCATCACTACAGCAGGTGAGGCATTTCCTAGCTGAAGTGCTCAAGGATTTGCATGATGCTTTTTTTTACTGTTGGACACTCCAACACTAGATAATGGGTTGGTTTAGCAGATTGTCAGAGTGATCAGATCACCCTGACCCTTCCATCTGGCCTTCTAGGCATTCCAGGGAGAAAAGTCTTACATTGTAAAGGTCTCAGCTGGAATACACTACATTGTAGTTCATGTATAACACAGATATTTTCATGCACAGGGCCAGGCAGCTTTCCTTTGGTGGGAAGACTTGACTCTAAGACTCATCTATGAAGGAGCCAAGAGATTGGTAGTTTACACAGGTTTCAAGTCAACTTAATTCTATTTTCTCTATGTCAGGGTCTTCAGCAGTCCTTTTTGCACTCTCTGGCTTCTTACCGGATATTCCAAAAGGCTGCTCCCTTTGACAGAAGGGCTACATCCTTGGCATGGCACCCGACTCATCCCAGCACCCTGGCTGTGGGTTCCAAAGGGGGAGATATCATGCTCTGGAACTTTGGCATAAAGGAAAAACCCACCTTCATTAAAGGGGTAAGCAGTTCCAGGTGCCAGATGGTAGTACTGAAGAGTTATTTGATGAAGGAATGAAAGGAATGTTGACATCAAGTAGCCAGATGTTTGGGATCAAAAGTAACTGGGCACTTTTAAACATATAAATGGTAATGAACTCAAATATTTATTGAATGCCTGCCCTTGAGATATTCAAAGGTATAGATTTAATGATCACTAAGTCTCCCTTCATATCTCTTAGGTCCGTCTTTTCTTTCACTCTGTGTTTAGCCACACCAGCTATTTTTGTTCTTGAAACTTTGATTGGCATGCTTTTCCCAAGGGCTTCTTATGATTGACTCCCTATTATCCTTCAGGTCTCTTCTCAATCTACCTTTTCAAAGAGGCTTTCACTGTCTCTCCTACTCAGAACGTAGACCCTACCCCACCTGGTCATTCTCCTGCTTCACGTTCCCCCTCAAATGTTTATTGGTGTCTGAAAATACTGTGTTTCTTTGTGTGTATTTACCCACTGGAAAGTTGACTCTATAAGGGAAGGGACCTTGTCTTTCTTGCCACCATACCCGGCAAAATTTACCATCTTAATCAATTGTTTTTGGAGACAGGATCTCACTATGTTGTTCAGGCTGGTCTCAAACTACTGGGTTCAGGTGTGCAGCCTCCCCAGTAACTGGGAGTATAGCAATGGCAATAAGTAAATTGTGTAATCATTTGCTATACTTTTTGAATGTTGGGACAGAATGAGCACACATCTGAGCTGGACTGAACATCAGCTCCCCACTTTTCAACTGTTCTTGTGTTTTTCTTTTTGGTACTGGGGATTGGACTCAAGGTTGCTTAACTACTGAGCCACGTTCCCAGCCCTTTTTATTTGTTTATTTTGAGATGATCTTGCTGAGTTGCTTAGGGCCTTGCTGATTTGCTGAGGCTGGCTTTGAACTCATGATCCTCATGCCTCAGCATCCCATCACTGGGATTATAGGCATGTGCCACCATGCCCAGCTTCAGCTCTGGTTTAGAGTTGGAGGAAATGAAGGGAAGTCTGGTATGAGATCTCATAAATGGAAGGGTTTGAGGAACAGCCCATCCAAAAAGGCCGGATTGGACAGGTGTGGGAGGTTGCGATTCAAGGTGTGAAATAGTTGTTAAAGAAAACAAGTGTCAGAAGCCAAAGGAAAGCCTGCCAGAGAATTGTCGAGGATAGAACTTGTTGGGTTTCCTGCCTGCCCCTCTAATAAGGCAGGTGACCACTAGGAAGGGAGCTTTAAATTGAAGTCAGAACTAAGAACTTGGCAAAAAGAGATTTATTTTTTTCCAAGAATCTAGGACATGAAAATAGAGAAATTTGGTTAAGCCTGGAGGTGGTAAGAAGCAGTCTAAGGTATAGGGGAAGTGGGTCCCAACTAAAAGGGAAATGACAACTACTTTGAACTTGTGCCAGACTGAGGCTGGCTGCTTTTTTTTTTTTTTTTTTTTTTTGGCATCACAATTTTTTTTTCTTGTGGTGCTAGGGAACAAACCAAATACCTTGTGCGTGCTAAGTACAGTCTAGCAGTGGAGCTGCATCCCTAGCTCCTGATGACACCTTTTGCTATTATGTGCATGTAACTAAAGTTGCCTTATGCCATCACAGAGGTTGACCTGGGCATTTGAACTTTGTGACTTGTGGGCAGCTAGCATGGCGTAAAGGAAGGGTATACTGATCTAGAGAACGTATTTTTTATCCCAGATGTGAACAGCAGAAAGTTGATTTGAGACCAGTTACTAGGGGATCAGCCATGCCACATTTTGTTACTTAAGTTATCTGACCTTGGCTGTGCTTGTCATATTTTTCAGGCCCCTTGGTTAGGGAACATATATTACATTTTCAAAATGAAGACAGCTTTACTTTATTCTTACACAGTTTATGTTGTGTTTTTTGTTTTTTGTTTTTGTTTTTTTGGTACCAGGGATTGAACCCAGGGGCATTTACCACATCTCCAGCCACCCCCTTTTTTTAAAATAAAATTTTTTAAAAACTTTTTTTTAATACCTTTATTTTACTGATTTATATATGGGGCTGAGGATCGAACCCAGGGCCCCGCACGTGCCAGGCAAGTACTCTACTACTAAGCTAGAACCCCAGCCCCTAAAAAAATTTTTTTTTGAGAGAGATAATTTTTTTAATATTTATTTTTTAGTTTTCAGCGGACACAACATCTTTGTTTGTATGTGGTGCTGAGGATCGAACCCGGGCTGCATGCACGCCAGGCGAGCATGCTACCGCTTGAGCCACATCCCCAGCCCTTCTAAAATAAATTTTTAAAAATATTTTTACTTGTAGATGGACACAATACCTTTATTAATTATTTTTTATGTGGTGTTGAGGCTCTAACCCAGTACCTAGCACATGCTAGGCAAGTGCTCTGTCACTGAGCCCTTCAGCCCTTTTTAGACAGGTTCTTACTGAATTGATTAGTTTTTCGCTAAGTTGCTGAGGCTGGATTTGAATTTTCTATCCTCCTTCCTCAGCTTCCCAAGCTGCTGAGATTATAGGCATGTGCCACCATGCCTGGCTATTCTTATACAATTTATGTTTAACATAAAAATTCAAAGAGTAAGAGTAAAGTATAAAGAATAAAGTAAATATGATTCCAGACTCCCATTTTCAGCATGTCTTTGTTCATGTATATAGTGTTACACACATTAATTCTCCTATTACTTTTTTTTAATGCATTGTTTTAGTTGTAGACGGACACAATACTTTTATTTATTTATGTGGTGCTGAGGATCGAACCCAGTGCCTCACACGTGATGGGCAAGTGCTTTATCACTGAGCCCCAGCCCCAGCCCTTCTATTCTCCTATTTCTGTTATTACATAAATGTTCTATCATAGAATCTGATGTGATTTACTTACATCAAGTATTCTAGTTTAATCATACCATACCAGAGGAAGACCATTTAAAAATATCTTGTAATTTTGGTTTTTTGTAATGCCTTTGGTTTTGGTATCAGGATAATGCTGACCTCATAAAAGGAGTTGGAAAGTATTCCCTCTGCTTCTATTTTCTGGAAAAATGTGTATATAGAATTGGTATTGATTCTCCCTTTAATTTTTGTAGAATTCACTTGGGCCTGGAGTTTTTCTTATTTTAATATTATTTTTATTGAGGTGTATACAGTAAACTACATATTCAAAGTCCACAGTTTGATGAGTTTTGGACATATGTACACACAATCACCATAATTAATTTATTTGCTTACTTTTTTTTAAGAGAGAGTGAGAGAGAAGAGAGAGAGAATTTTTCTTTTTAATTTTTTTTTATTTTTTAGTTCTCGGCAGACACAACATCCTTGTTGGTATGTGGTGCTGAGGATCGAACCCGGGCCGCACGCATGCCAGGGGGGCGCGCTACCGCTTGAGCCACATCCCCAGCCCCAACCATAATTAAAATAATGGACATATCTTTCATTCCCAGAAGTTTCCTAATGCCCATTTATAATCCATCCTTTTCTACCCTTGGTTCTGTCCCCTGGAAACTACTGCTGTGCTTTCTATCCCTATAGATTAATTTGTATTTTTTAGAACTTTATATATATACAACCATTGAATATGTAATATGTGTTTGTTTTGGTCTTCTTTCACTCAGTATAATAATTTGAGATTACATTTTTATGTGTATCAGTAGTTTGTTTTTCTTTCTGAGTAGTGTTCCATTATAACAGTATACTATAATTTATCCATTCACCTGCTGAAGAACATTTGGATTTTTTTTTCAGTTTTTGATGCCTACAAATAAAGCTGCTATGACCATCCATGTATAAGTACTTGTTATGGACATGTTTTCCTTTTGGGTAAATACTTAGGAGTAGAATAGCTGGGTTGTAGGGTGAGAATCTTTGAAAGATGTTTTTTTTTTTGTGTGGTGCAGGGGATTGAACTCAGGGCCTTGTGCATCCCCAGCATGTGGAATGCAACGAGTGTTTATGTCTGTAGAGAGGTGAAGGGATGAGTAGCTATCTGATATTTTTCTCTTTGTATAATGAGCAAAGAGAAATCAAAAGGTAATGGGAGGGGGCTGTGGCTTAGTGGTAGAGCGCTTGCCTAGCATTTGTGAGGGTTCCATGCTCAGCACCACATGTAAATAAATGAATAAACTAAAGGTCCATCGACATCCAAAAAAATTTTAAAAAGAAAACAAAAGGTAATGGGAGGGGAGAGAGTGGCAAAATGAATAATGAAAGGTTTCAGAAATTTTATTTATTTATCTGGTTCTGGAAATGAACCCGGGGTGCTTAATCACTGAGCCAAATCCCCAGCCCTTATTTTGAGACAGGGTATTGCTAAGTTGCTTAATGGTACTGAGCATTTTTCATATGCTTTTTGGCTACTTGTTTATCTTGTTTGGAAAAATGTTTACTCAAGTCCTTTGACTAGTTTTAGTTGGGTTATTTAGGGGTTTTGTTGTTATTGTGGGAATTTTAAAAATATATTCTGGATATTAACCTCTTGTAAAATTTATAACTTGGAAATATTTTCTCCCTTTTCATAAGTTACTTTTTTGCTCTATGGATTGTTTCCTTTGATGCTTGACTAATTTTTAATCATTTAACCCAACCTTGGAATAAACCCAACTTGGTCATGATATATTTATCCTTTACAAATATTACTGCATTGAGTTTGCTAATATTTTGTTTAGGATTTTTGCATCTGTGTTTGGGTGTAAAATTAGCCAGAGATTTTGTTTGTTTTTGTTTGGGTACCAGGGATTGAACTCAGAGGCTCTCAACCACTGAGCCGTATCCCAATCCCTATTTTGTATTTTATGTAGAGACAAGGTCTCACTGAGTTACTTAGCACCTCACTTTTGCTGAGGATGGCTTTGAACGCACAATCCTGTCTTAGCCTCCTGAGCCACTTGGCCAGAGATTTTTGTGTGTGTAATACGTCCCTGTCAGATTTGAGCATCAAGGTTACGTTTGTCTCATAAGCTTGGGAATTATTCCCGGTTTTCTAGTCAATGGATAATTTAGGACTAATAGCTCTTCTTTCGTTTCCTCATCTTCCTCTTTCCTTACCTTCCTGAACACTTCAAACCAAAAGTTATTAAGTAGGGTCCAGCAAGAGAGACTTACATAGTGGGGAGGAATGGTAGCCTGGTGTCAGGTGCTGGGGCCCATGAAGTGGAGGTGGGTGACAGATGGTGACAGAGTGGCATCTTAGCAATAGAGTCAGCACCCAAGTAGGGTAAGGAGAGCAGCATCCATGCAGGCAGGGGCAAGGGACAGTGGTACCCTGTGGTGTCCTAGGACACGAAATAGTGAAGCCTGAGAGCTGGTAGGAACAGAAGATTGCGGTACTATCAGTGAGAGTTTGGCAGACCATGGGCACTGATTAGAATGTTCTGTAGAGCAGGGAAGTGTGCTAGTTAGTGTGTTGGGTTAGTTCAGTACTTGTTGTGTAGGAGATCTTGTTCCAGCCTATCCTGCTGGATAGTAGCAGCATAAGGGAGAAGTGGAGAAGGAGCTCTTAGAAATAAAAAGTTCTTAAAACAATGCCTGCTATAAATTGAGCACTTAATAAGACAAAGCTATTAATGTTTTTACTTATTCATTTATTTATTTCTATAGTTCTGGGGATCCCAGGGCCTCGTGCATACTTGGCAAATGCTCTGCCATTAAGCTATACCCATAGCCCTTTTTATTTTATTTTTAAAAAAAGAGTCCTAGCTGAGTATGGTGGTGCATGCCTGTAATCCCAGTGGCTCAGGAGGCTGAATCAGGAGAATCGCAAGTTCAGAGCCAGGCTTAGCAATGGTGAGGTGATAAGCAACTCAATGAGAGCCTGTCTCTAATAAAATACAAAATAGGGCTGGGGATGTGGCTCAGTGGTCAAGTACCCTGAGTTCAATTCCCGGTACCTTAAATAAATAAATAAATAAATAAATAAATAAATAAATAAATAAAGGTATTAAAAAATAAAAATAAAAGAAGGTCTTGCTATGTTGCCCAGGTTGTCCTCAAATTTGCAATCCTCCTGTCTTCAGCCTCCAGAGTAGCTGGGATTATAGGCATGTGACACCCCACCTCCTTTATGAGGGCGTTTTCTGGGGTGAGATAGAATTGTTCTGCATCCTGATTTTTGTGGTAGTAATTCAAATCTGTATGTGTTAAAATTCATAGGACTGTATACTAAAAAGTCATATTTACCGTATATTAATTTAAAGTATAAAATAAAACTATATAACTAAAGTCTCAAAGAAGACTGTGGAGAGCATCCTGCTGTCCAGGTATCTCAGCAGGCCAGGCTCAGATGGAGTGGGGTATGTTTACCCAGGCCTGGGTCCTCACTTCCTGGTCCATCATCACTCACTGACTTTTTCCTTCCTTCTGTTAGATTGGAGCTGGAGGGAGCATCACTGCGCTGAAGTTTAACCTTCTCAATACCAACCAGTTTTTTGCCTCCTCAATGGAGGGAACAACTAGGCTGCAGGACTTTAAAGGCAACACTCTCCGAGTTTTTACCAGCTCAGATACCTGCAAGTGAGTAGTTTAACTAGTAAGGGAAAGAGCTTCTAAACTTCAGGTGTCATTCTGTCAAGGGCATCTTATATAATTATGGGGGGTCATGCTGGGGATTGAACCCAGTGGTACAGTACTACTACTATATCCTTGGCTCTTTATTTTGAGACAGGGTCTCACTGTCAAGTTCCAGGCTGGCCTTGATTCTCCTGCCTTGTTAGTCTCCTAAATAGCTGGGGTTATAGTTGTGCGCCACAACACCCACAAAGTGGTGAGAGCATCTTAGTCCCATTTTTTTATTTCAGAGCTAGTACATGGAAGAAAGGGAAGGTGTTAGCCACTTTCTCCCACTCCTTCCCTTCCTTTTCTTCCTCAAACTCTTTAAATTTTCTGACCTTGGTCCAGGTAGGTTATTGGTTTGGGAAGGTGTTCCAGAACCTCAGCCCTTTTTAGTGAAGGAAGGGCTTCAGCAATTTTTGTTTTTTGATTTTTGGTGGTGCTGGGGATCGAACCCAGAGCCTCATATATGTTAGGCAAGCACCCTACCAATCAGTCGTACCCCCAGCCTGACTTCAGCTCTTGTATAATTCATTCCCATATTGCACTAGATCTTGACTCTCACATGACAAGTTGACAGGGCCTAGAAAGCCTCTTAGTGAAACAGGAACTAAGAACTGAAGACTTAATGCCCTCCATTCACTAGAGTGTAATGACCTGGCCAGCTCCTTGGTGGAAGTTTAAATGGATACAATCCTCTCCTAAGAGCAAATGGCTGGAGAAACTAGAAAATGTAAGTTACTTTGATTTACAGCCCAAGGCATGACTCTGACTGCTCCCTAAGGAATTAGTGAGGATGTAGAGTCTAAATAACATTAGGTGTTATCCTGAGCTACCCCACACGGTGAGAAGTACATGAGCCATCATGACAGGTGACTGGACACAAGGCTCCAGGTTATTCTTTCCCAAGAAGCCCTTTCACTTACAGATAGTCGGCAAGGGTGGCAAAAGACCATGTGGTTTGGGCTGGGGTTGTGGCTCAGTGGTAGAGTGTTTGAATAGCATGCATGAGGCACTGAGTTCAATCCTCAGCACCACATACAAATAAAATTGTGTTGACCTAAAACTGAAAAATAAACATCAAGAAAAAAAAGGCCACGTGGCTTGGATTTGATGGCTTCAGAAGAACTATGTGAATTGGAGCTCTCCTGGCTGGGAATTAGGATCCACGAAGAACCCTTCCCAAAGAAAGCCCTCATCCTCAAGTCATCTGCAGAAGAACTTCTGGATTGTGTGTGCTTTTCCCCTAAATGCTCAGAAGGGGGCAGACGTTCATTTCTAGTCAGCTATGAGGAACAAAGCTGGAGAATTCCTGTTTGGTTTGTCATCTCTTTTGGCCCCAATCTACCATCTCCCTCTACCAAGTGATGGAGAAGAGAACAGGAAATGAGGCTTCTTTAGAACCTGGGCAGTCTTAGGCAAGCTAGCCTTGGGACTTGCCTTATAAATATGAAGTCAGTGACTTTCTAGCCCAGGATGCTGGGGCCAGCAGTTAACAGGGTACATTTCTAAACCCTAGTACCCCATTCATTCTGGATGGTGACAAGTCTGAGTGTTCCTCACTGGGGATCCATGGCAAGACAATTATTCATTCAACAATTTATTTATTGAATGCCACTGTGGGTTAGACACTGGAGCTGTAACAGTGAATAAATGGACCTGTCTCAGGCCCCAAGAGTCTGATGGCACAGTCTTTCCCTTTAGCGTCTGGTTTTGCAGCCTGGATGTGTCTGCCAACAGCCGAATGGTGGTCACAGGAGACAACGTGGGGCATGTGATCCTGCTGAACACAGATGGCAAGGAGGTGCGTTCTCTGTAGCCAAGGTCCTCCCTGTCCCTCCCTTGCCCCTGACTCAGTTCTGTGTCCCCACCTGAACCGGGCTCTCTTCTGCAGCTTTGGAATCTCCGAATGCACAAAAAGAAAGTGACCCATCTGGCTCTAAACCCCTGCTGCGACTGGCTACTGGCCACAGCTTCCGTAGATCAAACAGTGAAACTCTGGGACCTGCGCCAGATTAGAGGGAAAGCCAGCTTCCTTTACTCGCTGCCACACAGGCATCCTGTCAACTCAGGTACTGTAACCCACGTCTCAGCTTTCCTGCAGACCCCATTTATCCCACCACTGCTGGGGTTCTTTCTCAAAGTTTAGAAGGTACTAGGTCAGACTTTTACCCTCATAGCATCTACCAAACTGATATCTGGGAACTCTTCTGGCTCTGGCCCTTTCCATTGGCTGCTGAGTTTCTATATTTTTGTTCACAGCCAATTCACCTCTCTCTGCCACCCATCTAGAGAAGAGTGAGAGACAGGGTGCCCTGCAAGAGAAGGCCTTCAAAGGCCGGGATAACAAGGGGCTCGAGTTCTGTCAGCTTAGGGGCTTTTTATTTTGCCAGCTTGTTTTAGCCCTGATGGAGCCCGGCTCCTGACCACTGATCAGAAGAGTGAGATCCGGATTTACTCTGCTTCCCAGTGGGACTGTCCCCTGGACCTGATCCCACACCCTCACCGTCACTTCCAGCACCTAACACCCATCAAGGTGAGTGATGGAAGGAAGACAGCTGTGATCACTGGGGCAGACAAGGTCTGCCCAATCCCAGATCTCTTCTTGTTCTGATAAAAGCAGACTCTTAACCCTTTGGTTCTCTCTGCTCCTTCTATCTCACTCCTGTGATTCCATTTTGTTGAATTTTGTTCATGTATCTCTGACAAGCTATTTTTCTGAGTTCTTTTCAGCCCAATCCTGATCTGACTGGGCGTTTTCTATGATCCTGACCCTCTGTTCTATCCTGTTGCAGTTACATGTGTATGCAGCTGATCCACAAACTAACCTTCGCCTTCTTAGTTTGTCTTGCAGGTTTAGGTGGCTTCTAATAATAGAAATAAGTCCCTTACTTTCCCAATTTGGATCTCCGTTTCCTCATCTGTAAAAAGGGAATACTAGTATCTAACTGATAGGGTTGTTGTGAGGATGAATCAATATACTTAAAGCACTTGACACCATGCCTAGCACCTGGTGAGTACTTAGTAATGATGATTTAGTACCCCATGTCAAATCCAGTAATAAATAACATCAAGAATCATCCAGCAGTTGGTATTCTTGCTAATACATTTGTCCTCATCTCTCTTGTATCCTGCCAGGCCAGTTTCCCATCTGTGATTTGTTAGTGACTTATTTCCAAGCTATTGTATATCCATTTCCTCCTTACAAAACATGTCTTTCCTCCTTCAAAACCTCCATGACCCAAGTGTGGTGGCAACTGTAATCCTTGTAACTCCAGAGGCTTAGGCAGGAGGATCCCAAGTTCAAGGCCAGCCTCAGAAACTTAGCAAGGCCCTTAGCAACTTAGTAAGACTCTGTCTCAAAAAATAAAAAAATAAATAAATAAAAAAGGCTGGGGAGGCTGAGGTTGTAGCGCAGTAGTAGAGCACTTGCTTAGCATATGTGAGGCACTGGGGTCTATCCTCAGCACCACATAAAAATACAAAAATATAAAAATAAATAACTAAAAAAAGGGGGGGTGGGATATGTGACTCAGTGGTAAAGCACCCCTGGTTCAAATTCCCTAGTACCCCCCCAAAAAAAATCCAATTCTGTCATTCCAGTGAATATCAGATTTGTTTCAGGTAAGGCAAATTGGAGAAAATGGGTTTCCTCTCATTTTTTAGTAATTTTTTCTATCCTAGCCTACCAAACTCTACCCTACCCTACCCTACCCTACCCTATCCGATCCTACTTTGGTGCTGGGAATGAGTGAACCCAGGGTCACTCTACCATTCAGCTGCATTCCCAGCCATTTTTATTTATTTTGAGACCAGGTCTTGCTAAATTGCCCAGGCTAGCCTCAAACTTCTCTTGCCTCAGGCTCCTGAGTGACTGGGATTACAGACAGGTGCCACTTTACTTGGCATCACTATCAATTTTATACTCTTATTCATGTGTCTAGAGGAGGTTTATTAGTGGGGTTATGTTAGAACTTATATCCTATTTGGTTTTGGTCACCAGAGGCTTTTTGCTTTGTTATAGGATCACTTCCTAGGTTAATGCCTGGGTCAAGCTGATAAATAAAACATTTATCAAGCACTGGGGGTGTTGCTTAGTAGTATAGTACTTCCCTAGCATTCATGAGGCCCTGACTTTGATCCCCAGCACTGAAAGAAAACAAGAAAACCACATTTATCAGTTGAAATTATCTCAAGACATGCAAAAGAGATTGAAGGTATGAAAGTGTCTTAAAGGCAAGGGAGGCAACCTAGAAATTAAAAATTTGCAAAGGTAGATGCACACACAGTTGAAAACCATCCTTGTAATTTCAAGTAAGTCTTACCTCCCATTAGTTATGTTACAGGCTCGTTAGTGGCAAAGAATATGTTTGTTTTTGCAGTACTAGGGATGACACCCAGGGCCTCACATGTGCTAGTCAAGCACTCTACCACTGAGCTACACCCCCAGCCCCACAAAGAATACTTTTAATGCCCCTCTTAACGAGGTTCTGTATCTAATTTTGTGGCCAACCTCTCCATCTCCTAGGCAACCTGGCATCCTCGGTACAACCTCATTGTTGTGGGCCGATACCCAGATCCTAATTTCAAAAGTTGTGCCCCCTATGAATTAAGGACGATTGATGTGTTTGATGGAAGCTCTGGGAAGATGATGTGTCAGCTCTATGACCCAGAATCTTCTGGTATCATTTCGGTGAGGCTTGGGCATTCAAATGATGGGGGGGAAGCAGGAATTCACCCGACCTCAGCAGAAATTAGTCCTGTGTGCCCTTCTGTCTCTACCAATACCTTCACCCTCTCTTCATGTTGATACTCTTGTCTCTGCAGCTCAACGAGTTCAACCCCATAGGGGACACGCTGGCCTCTGCCATGGGTGAGTAGAAGCAGGTGTATCTCGGAGTGGCTAAGCCCAATACTACTCCACAAGTTTCAGTGCAAGCTAAGCTCAATTTAGACCTTCCACATTTACCTCAGGGCAGTAGCCAGTGAAGATGACTGGGATACAGTGGTCTCTCTGGCCCGGGCCCTCTTCCCTCATGCATTATCATGGTCATGGCAATGCCTGGTTGCTGTCCAGTTTCCTAGCATTTCCTTACCAAGACCTAGGTTCCTTGGACCAGCCCCGAGCTCTCGACTGATAGTGGAAGGTACAAGTCAGACTGTTCTTATTCCTTCTAGGTTATCACATTCTCATTTGGAGCCAGGAGGAGGCTAAGCCATGGGATGAAAATGAGACACATTGAAGAAAGTGTGGGCAAAGCAACAGCTACGAGGCCACAAATGGAAATGAGTGCTATGAAGAGGCAGCTACCTGTTACCGGGCCAAAAGTATCCAAGTCTTAGGATTGAAGACGGGCACTGTGGGACGGGGACTGGGACTGGGACATTGGAATGTTACTGCTTTTGACAGCTCCAGAAACTTAGGGTGATCCAGCTGCCCTAAGAGTCCTGTTATATCTAGCCTGGAGCCAAGCTTACCCTGAAGCTAAAGTACTTTTCTCCTTTCTGATAGGTGGTGGCTGAGTGATCAGGGCGTGTTTTTTTTTTGTGTGTGTGTGTGGTTTGTACTCACTATTGACAAGGCCAATAAAACCAAATCCAACTGAGCTTCTGAGTAGATATGGCACTGACCTGGTCAAAGAGGCACTGGAGTGTCAGGAATGAAAAAAAGGCACAAAACCAGCATTCACAGTCCAAAACTTCATTCTCTGGGAGCTACCTCAGCCTTATTCTGTGCTAGTCGAGCTATCCAGTTCACCACCTACATTTACCTCAGGTCCCTGGAGAGCCCAATCCAGCTGAGGGAGTATTTTCATGATTCTATATGATCTGCTCCCTCCCACCTCCCCCAACTCCCTCCCCAGTATAATACAAACCCCCTTCCAGACCTGCTCAAGTCACCAAGGGGTGACAGAAGTGCCTGAACCATTGAGACTAATGGTAGCTTCAGCTGGACAAAGGAAAACTTGGTTGGCTGGTTGTTGGGGGATCCAGGTCCTTGGTAGCAAATGTTGTGTACCCCCAGAGTTGTGCAATTTTTCCCTCTAAATAAGCACTGAGAGGCAAGATGATGTCCGATGACCCATTTGCCAAAGACTCCAGGCTGGAAGATAAAGAGCAGGGCTTGGTGGAAGAGCAAGGCGGATCAAGCACCGACTCCTTCAGTTTTTTTTATCCCAGGTCCTGAGTGAAACCCGAATGCTTGTCTACATCTCAGGTCCTTGGGGAATATGGAAGAGGCAAATCCTGTTTGGAGAAAGCCAATGTCCAACAGTACTTGGTGAACATCAGGCATGTGAATGCCGAGAGAACAGGTACCGTGGGCCAAGCCGAGCCCCACTTGCTCGTCTGGGCTGGTGTAATTAAGGAGGCCCAACCCAGGGTCTCCTGTCCATAGGCTGAGGAGCAGTAACAGTCAGGAACAGGGCCCAGCCCACCTCCCCTAGGAGGCAGAGGGAAGGGGGCTGAGTGGTTGTCAGGCATGGTCCTCCCCATCTGCAATGTGGCGGTAGCCAGGAGGCTGGGCCTGCATCCGGAAGAGGACGGTGAGGAGCAGCACTATGAGAAGGAAGAGTATGGAGCCACAGACGGCCAAGGCCACGATCACCTCTGGGCAGGGGGAGGGGAAGAGAAAGGTAAAGTTAGCATTCTTCCAACAAATGTTGAGCATCTACCATATGCCAGGTACTGTTCTGACATACAGGGGATATGCAGGCAGCCCTCATGGAGTTTATATCTAGCACATGGGTTCTATTTTCCCAGTGCTGGAGATCAAACTCAAGAGCTCACATATGGAGGCAACTGCTCTACCACTGAGCTACATCCCCAGGCCAAATTCACATTTTAGGAGGAAAGATCCAATAAACAAGCAAATGGTAGGAACGACAGGTTAGTGATAAGTRCTATAAGAAGGTCAGTCAGGGAAGGCATCAATGAAGAATTCAGACCAGACAATGAGACAAAGATATAAGAGCAGAGTGGGGGGTCAGGAAGCAACTACAGATGGCCCCAATATGGGAATAAACATGGCATGTTCCAAGATAAGCAAAACAGTCTCACTGGACTAAGTAAACAAGGGGCAAGTAGGAGATGGGGCAGAGGACCAGGCTAAGGAGGGCCAGGAGGTCCTGTTGAGAACTTGGATTTCATTCTCTATGGAATAGGAAGCCACTGGAAGATTCTGACGTGATGAGAGATCAACACAGATATGAATAGAACCAGAAAGAATGCTAGAGACTTTTCAAGAGTTCAGGCAAGAGCTGATGGCATGGACTAAGGAGGGAAGAGCATGCACCTGAAAGACTAAGCTTTCAGGATCTGCTAGTAGGCTGGATGTGGGTTATGAGAAAAATATTGCCTAGGGTTATACTGTCAGTAGGGTGACTAATGTGGCATTTACTAAAATGGGAAGCCTGGAGGAAGAGCAGATTTGAGGGGAAGAGCATCTGGTTTTAGACATGTCAACCCAAAAGCCCCATTGGACGTCCACATAGAAACCTCAAGTCAGCTGGACATGAGTTTAGCCCAGAGAAGATGTCACGCATCTGCAAGTCATAACAAAGACAGGACTTAGCATGGAGATGGTGTATGGGAGCCACAAGGCTGAGATCATTTCAGGAGTCAGGATAAATAAGAAAAGGGCTGGGAAAAGCTGGGGACCATCGTTTTATTAGTGGGGAGGGAAGCCTGTAAGTAGGAGAAAAACCAGGTGAAACCAAGAAAGTTCTTTCTTTTTCCCACCTTGCGGTGGCAGGGTTTGGCAGTGCTGGGGATCATCCCAGGGCTTCTCACATGCTGGAAAAGTGCTCTACTACTGAGGTACACCTCTGGCCCCAAGGGAGTGTTTAAGGAAGGAGTGATCAAGTATGTTAATGCTGCTGAGAGGAGAGAAGCTAAGTACTGGTCACCTTGACAGGGGTGGCTTCAGTGCAGTGGAAGGTGACATGAGACTATCTAATGTCACTTGGAGAGAACAAGTAGTGAGGAAGTAAAGCCAGAGTCTAGGCAACTTTTCCATGAATTCTACCCTCAAATGAATCAGGGGAGCTGGAGGAATGGGCTTCAGGGGTCTCTCTTAGGCTCTGAGATACGACTATCCAGGAAAGAAGGGAACACTGAGGCATCAGAGGTCCTGGTGAAGAGCAGAAGCAAGGGATCCAAAGTGGGGCAGCTGCCCCTGCTTCCTGGCTAAAGCCAACTGTGAGCTGGTAAGTCTGAGGGTGGGAGAACGAGTGCTCTCTCCTGGCTGCTCTTATTTCTCAGTGATGTAAGTGAGTGCATCCCCTGAAGGTGGAGTGGGAAGAAGGGGTAAAATGTTCTCAGGGTGGAAGAGGGAAATGTCCAAGGAGATGCAGTAAGATGGCTGGAAGTGTGACAGCTCCCTCAAGATTTGTGGATGTGACCTGGGATGTGACTAGCACAGAGGCGGGCAGCAGCTCACCTGTGTCTGCAGTACTGCTTGCCAGCTGGCATTCCTGCTGCCAGTCCTTGGGCACAACGGACTCTGTGAGGTGAAGGAAGTCCTGCAGTGGGCAGCGTAGAGAGCAGCCAGGCAGGATCAGTGGCCAGGGGTCCTTCTTACTTTCATTCCGAAAGTACATCTCCACCGAGAAATTCCTGGGGGTTGATGGCAGGCGATGGGAACTACTCACCATGCCTGTAAATGAGTCCTTGGGCTGCCCCCAGCCATACCTGAGTGCCTCTCCAGAGGTCACACTGGTAGCTTGACTTACCCATTATCTTCCCAGAGTTCAAATATGTGGCAGGAGGCGTAGGGGGCTTGTTCACCATTGTAGACATCCAGTGCCATTTGCAGAGCAACAAGGGTAGTGTCATGCTGTAAGAGAGATGGCCTGTCCATCAGCACTGCTCCCCAACACCCCCAGGCACTGAGTAGAGATGAAATCCAACCATTGGCTTGGTGTCAGCACGCTGGGGAGTTCAGCATCTTACCGCAGAGTACACCAGCAGCTTAGGGAGTTGGGAGGTAGTTGCCATTAGGGTCAGGTTCTTCCGTATCTGAGCCAGCAAGACTCCTGAAGAAGAAAAGTCCTCAGTGTCACTGGCTATAGCCATCATTATCATTGGATCAGACCCATTTGCTCCTCTCAAGCTCTGCTAGTCCTGGTTCTAATCACCAACCCAGGTTCACAAGGCCCATGTCAGAATTCTAAACCACTCCCTGCCCTCCAAGAACTTTCAAATTTACAGAAGGAAGCAAGATAAAACAAGGTATCTATATTTAAACACAGATGAAGAAAGCTGCCCCTTCATCAGTGAGCTAAGAGGCCCTTCCCAGTTTGATTACTCCAATGTGGAATAAAATGTAAACTTAAGACTGCTCCACAACACACAAGATGGTGGCTCCATGCCAGGGTGACTGCCATATGTAGGTTCTGAAAACTACTGAGGTGTCAGAAAGGCTCGACAGCTGGCACACTCTTGGGTGCTGTAGTATGGAAGCTGGCACATGTATTATTCTCAGTCTTCCCTCAAAATAGGCCTAGCAGTTCTCTGGAGGAAGTATTCAGTCAGGGGAGGGAAGGTCTTCTGACATGGGTGAAATTTAGTAAGTATGGCAAAAAAGAAGCATGTAAATCTGACTGGTCACAGGGCTAGTTGTCGAGAGAGCTGGATGACTAAAGGGGAAGACAAGGGGGAAACCTGGTTTTGAAAGAACAGAGAACATTTCATGAGCAGCCCCATAGCATATTTTCAATGTGGAGGGGAGTGACATGCTGTCCTTGTCACTCACCCCCCTGAAGCCGGGCCTTCTCTGCCTGCTCATGGATCCCGAAGAGGAAGCGGAAGCTGAAGTCCTTTAGCTGGCTCAGACGCTGCATGGTTTGGGGTGAGGCCCAGGGTGGCAGGAGTAACCCATGGGTTTGCTGTGTATTGTATGGGGCAGGTTAACTCCCCAGGCCTAGGCCAGAGCTTCTCTGGGGGCAGCTCTCTTCCCCAGAGGGAAGGTGCCTGTGTGTGAGGGAAGGGGAGGAGAGCAGAGGTGAGGCGGAGGGGCTGGAATGGCAGGCCGTGTTGGGGCTGCAGGGCACAGGAGAGGAAGCTCAGGCACAAAGAGCAAGATTCAGCAGAAAGGCGCCTGATACCACAAGAGCCCTGGGTGGAGGGGAGTAGGAACTGCTGACCACTAGTAAACATTTCCCACTCTGAGACTTTTCACCCGTGGGGGAAGTTCCCGTGTTTCACAGGCAGCAGCTTGCTGGACCTCCCCAGTGGGCATGACGGATTTCAGGCATTGTGTTCTACCATCCTGGTGACTTGGGCCTGCTGAGGGGGAGAGAGAAGTAATCCCACTGGGCACCTCTGTGGGCTCACCTCACAGAAGAGTGTGTCATAGACATTCCAGACAGTCTCCAGAGTCAGGTCTGTAAGTCCTGTCTCATTGGCCACCATGTCCAGAAATTGCTATGAAAAATGAATTAGGGGATCAGTCCTGCCCTGGGGAAAGAGCAGTCTGATGACCTCCGGCTCAACCCCCACTCACTGCATTCCGAATACTCTCATTCTGATACTCTGGTGTCTGCCGAGTCTCATTCTGCAGCTGCTCATAACGCGGACACGGGCCCAATGGAAACTTCAGCAGCTGCAGGCCAACGGAAGGAAAGAGAGGCAGAGAAGTCTGAGACCAGCAATCCCATGGCCACAGTTGTCCCCCTTGCCCCTCCAGGGAAGGGTTGGCCAGTCTTACCTTGTCCTCAGTGATGGGCACAGTGTGAACAGGGATAGGCTGCCATGATATGTTAGGGTTGAACCGCTGCATCCCATTGGGAGGGAAGAGTCCAGCCAGGTTGGCCTCAGCACTCATGAGAGTACGGTCAAAGTCCGTGCTTCGCACATACACCTGCAGAGATGGCAACATGAGTCTCACCTGTGTATACATGGGCACTCTAGCCCCTCATTGGGGCCCCAAAGAGAGAACCTGTTCTTGATGGCCACCCAGAAATTGTAAACCCACCATCATCCCCTTCTTTTGCCTTTCCCTCCCTCAAGGCCCCAAATATCAGCTGGGACTATCAGCACTATGTGAAGAACTCAGACTGTGGGAATGGCTCTAGTGCAAATGTCCCTTCCTCCTAGTTAAAAGTGCTTAGTCAGTAGTAGGCTGTCCCTGGTCTTTCTGAATACTCTCATTCTGATACTCTGGTGTCTGCTGAGTCTCGTTCTCTATAAACTGGCTCAGAGACTGAGGTGGGGAAAAATAAGGAACAGAGAGAGGGTTTGTGAAAATGGGGAAGAAGCTGGGGAAAGGCAAGCTCAGGATAAAGCTGGGCCTCAGGGAACAAATAACATGTATAGACTCTTGAGACAGTTGTGCTGAGAGTGGTAACCAGAGGAACAGCTATAGCTACCACCATCTCTCGAGTGGGGAGAGGAGCTTAGGAGCAGCATCTGTGCCACTCTTCACTGTTCCCTTTACCTTGTCTTCCTGGTTTATCATCTGATACCCCCAGTATACTCTTAGCTTTGTGGAAACAGACATTGTATCTGTGTGGTGCACAACTGTATGCAAAACACTAGCACAGAAGGTACTCAATAAATGTTTTGGAGGGAAAGCCTGTTACTTCACAGCCAAAAACAACTTTTCTAGGCCCTTCCTTAAGTCTGAGTTGGGTGTTTGATCAGTCTTGCCTCTTCCCAACCAAGCAGAGGCAACTGAGCCTCTAGGAGTATGTTCTAGATAGTTCTTAAATGTCTCATCCTATGACCAAAAATGCAGGAGGAAGGCCAGAGTGTTTAGCCTTATCCTCAGCTTTCTGAAGGAAGAGAATGAGAATAGATCCCATTCCTCTTGTCACTTAAGTTCCCATGCTTACCTCCTGACGGTGATAAGAGGTGTTTAGAAAGCCATGGTAGCGCTGCCGCAGAGCCTGGCCCAGCTCCCAGTGCTGTAGCATCCCTTCCTGTGGGCAAGTCCAACGGTTAAAAGGATTCAGAGGGAAGGAATGGTTTATAAACCCTGTGGATTTTAGATGCTGTTGCTTTGTAAGTATACTTCTGCTAGAAGAAGGAATGGGCTATTTTAATCCCAGGAGTCATTTATTAAGTGGCCAGCTATATGTGGCATTGTCCTAGGCATACAGTAATGTAAGGTTAAGAAACTCAGTCAGGGCTGGGGATGTGGCTCAGTAGTAGAGTGTATACTTAGCACATGTGAGATCTGTGTACTTAGCACATGTGAGACCCTAGGTTCAATCTCCAAGCATCACAAAAACAACAACAAAAATATGGTCAGTCAATACCCATGTGGGAACTGGCAGTTTAGGGGGCCCCAAGTTCTGTAACCTGCTCCAGAGGTCACTCATTTGTTGTTGTTATTTCCAGTACTGGGGATTAAACCATGGGGCACTCAAACACAGAGCTACATCCCTAGATCTTTTAAATTTATTTTTAAATTTTGAAACAGTCTCACTAAATTGCCCAAGCTGGCCTTGAATTTGCAATCATTTGCCTTCACCTCCCAAGTAACTGGGATTACAGAACTGTGACACCACCACGCCTGGCCAAAGGTTATTCATTCTACAGCAAATCCTGAGGGTGAGCTGGCTTCTGACCCACCTTGGTTAGTTGACCAAACCCCTGGGGCCATTCCTCTTCCTGATAGGGGTCCTTGGGATATGTCTTCACTGGTGAACGGTCTCCATGTCGGTAAAGCTGAGGAAACAAAATGATTTGCCTACAGTCAGAAGGGTCTCCTTGACAGGAACAGAGAGCATACCTCTGCCCCGTGTTGGGGAAAGGGAGCCTCACTCTCTCTGGGAAGCCTCACCACTACCCACTGCAAAAGACCAGAGTTCAGGAGGATGCTAACTTGACTAAGCAATGTAACTGGAGACCATGGGGAAGCCAAAGGCACAAGTGGGAAGAAAAAAACAAAAACAAAACAGTGAGAATAATGCTCTCAATGGGTAAAACTGAAGGGGAAAAAAATCATCAAAGTCGTCTTTATTGGCGAGTCTCTTAACCTTTTAATCACATCCTTGTCCCAGAGAAGACTCATCCCACCTACCTGCTGATACAGAACTCCTTACCAGAACGCCCTGCCCCCCAGAATGACCCAGGGCTCCACATCAGTTCTGAACCCAGCCCCTCGAGCTCCCCAGGCCAGTGGTCTACTAAACCAGATCTTCTCCTCTAGTCCTCGACCCCCATCACAAGCCCTGCCCCTCCCTCCCAGCAGGCCTTTGCCCTTCTAGCTCTAGCAAACCCTCTGGTGACACTGTCGCCCATTACCAAGGTAACGAAGCGCAGACTCCGGGCCTGGGTGAGTGGCATCACCATCAGGTTCATGCCAAGAAGGAGCTGGAGAAGAACCGCCCAGCTCCAGCCGTGCAGTCTGCCGGCCATCATCGCTCTAGTGTGTGTGCGCGCAAAGAGGGCGGAACGCGCTGAGTGGCACCAGCTGCAGCCGCCCGGACACACACGAAAGGACACACGCCGGAAGTGCGCTCGCCGCCATCTTACTAAGGGGGGGCAGCAGGGATGGTAGAATTTGGAAGGGAATACGTAGAGGAGTTTCCCATCTGGCAGTGGGGGACACACGTAGGAATGTAGGGCGACATTGCGCGGCAAAAGGGCTTGAAGACCTAGTCTTGGTAAAGAGCACACGGGGTCAGGGCTGCCCCTTCCTGTACTAAGGTGGCACTTGCCCTGGGCGGGGCCGTGGCCTGGAGAGCGAGCGCCCCCTCAGGCCGGGTGCAGCTGGTCCCGATCCCAGAGCCCGAGAGTGCTGAATTGGAACGAAGGGTAGGGAAATGTGGGGCGTCCCTCACCACGCCCCTGGCCTTCGGGTGGAGTTTGAGCCTTGGCTCGGTCCGCATTTCCCGGGAGAGGTGCAGGGCAAAACGTGTAAACAGCCCTTTGGACTCCCTGTGCCCTTGAGGTTGGTCCCAGTGTAGTCTACTGTTCATGCCTGCCCGGAGCAAAGCTTCAGAAGCCCTCTCACTTGCTTTTTCCAGTGCTTTCCCTGTCTTTCCTCTAGTTTACTTACAAGTTTTCAGTTTAGAGTCAAGACGTCATACTTCTTCCCAAAGGAGTTGGGTTGCACGGGATGTTCAGACTTTCCAAACCCAAACCAATGAATCCATAAAGGAGAATTTCAGACCTTTGGAGAGAGATTTTGGGGGCAGGCACATAATATAGAGTAAAAGTAGATGGGGTTTCTGCAGAATCAGAGACCCTCTTGGCTTTGTCTCTTAGGATTCAGGTGCCGCCACTTTGGCCTTAGGACTTTGTTGTGATTCTGAGCTTGGAGTGACACAGTTTTGAGGGACAGATCATAGACCCTTGGGATGCTTTGATTCAGATCTGCCCACTAGACGCAACTTCACCTCATCATTGACAAATAAAACTGATCAAAACTGTTATTATCTTGCTCTAAGACCCCAGATTCAAAACACACACACACACACACACACACACACAATGATCTAAACTTTACTTCAAGAAATGTCATGAAGGAGGCTGAGGAGTAAATAGAATAAGAAGGTTAGGTAGGCAAATAGCTCTTAACCTTTTCAGTCACAAGCCCCTTTATGAATTGGATGAAAATTTAGCCCTCTGCCTTCCATAAAAATGTTCACACACATAAACATACATTAGAATTTTGCTTATAATCTCAAAGAGTTTCACAAAGACACTTCATAGCTTTATAAACCAGCATCTCTGAATCCCTGATCTAACCTAATCCTCTTATTTTACAAATTAGGAAAAAACTAGAGAGGCAAGTGACATGGTTCAGAAGCATGGATTCAAATTCAATTTTCTCTTCCCAGCTAAATAGTCTTTGTAATGGACTGTTTCTTACAGGCTGCAAACTGCATGCAGGCTACTCAAAATGCTTTGCTAAACTATATTTGGTAGCTCCAGAGTACCTTTAATAAAGAGATTTCTATTAAAAGAAACTTTTTCTCCTTAGTGGAATTAAGTGGGTCATGACTAACTGGCAAAATGCTGCATGAATATTAGGCTTTTTAGATTTTTATTTTGATTTATTTGTTTTATTTTATTTATTGCAGTACTGGAGATTGAACCCAAGGGTACACTACCAGCCCCTTTTATTTCTTTTTTATTTTGTTTAATTTTTTTCAGCACAGGGAATTGAACCCAGAGGCCTTATACCACTGAGCTTCACCCCAGCCCTTTTTAAATTTTGAGGCAGGTTGTCATAAAGTTGCCCAGGTATCCTCAAATTTTCAATCCTCTTGCCTCAGTCTTCCAAATAACTGATTACAACTGTGTGCCACTGCATCCAGCTAGATCTGCAGATCACCAAAATTTAGCAAGTAGAACAAAAAATTGCCGAAACCCATCTTTTGCTTTTCCTTCCACTTGCTCAAATGTCTATATCCTTGGTGCTTACAATATCCCATGTAGGAGGGATTGATGAAGCAGATGTTATTTTAATTTTTATAGTGAGAAATGATTCCAGGAAGGGTGGGGAGTAGAAGGAGATGGTAGAACCTAGAGCAGAGCCTTGATTTCCTGATTCCCCAGCTTTTGCATATTTTTTACCAGATGATTCTTTGTTCTTCACACCTTGGTTCCTAACTACAGATTAAAAAGAGAGAGAGAGACATGTATATGAATAGATAGATGGATATATGGGCATACCCTAGACTAAAATCATGCTCTGAAGCATGATAAGACCAGGTTTGGAAATCATTGTTCTACTCTGTGTTGGCAGAAGCAAACCTAAATCCGGGTGAGTTAACTATGTTTTTTTTTTTTTTTTTTTTTTAATCATCATCATCACCTTGTGGTACTGGGGATTTCACCAGGGATGCTCTACCACTGAGCTACATCCCCAGCCCTTTTATTTTTTATCTTGGGTTAGTCTAGCTAAGTAGCTGAGGTTGGCCTTGAACTTTTGATCTCCTTGCCTCAGTCCCCCAAATTCCCGGGAATACAGGGGTGCACCACTGTGCCCAGCTATGTTTTGTTTTAATTTGAATGTGAGCTTGAGCTTTTGGGTCAGCTTTACTTGTATTCAAATTTGGTGCTCTGCACTTTACTGGTAACTGTCTTTTTATATTTATTGTGAGAATAAATGAAACATTGCATGTAAAGATAAATTGTGTACATGAGACTAAGTAAATGTTATTGTTCTTCTTCATTTTCTGCCCTCTGTGTCATCTCTAAAATTTATAGGTCTTAGAATTTATTCCTGACTTCTTCTATCTTGTCATTGGGAGGTGGGCAGAAGTCACTTGAGTAGATACTTGGTGGTCTGAAAGATATCCCCACCCTTTCTACCCTTCCAGAACAGTGAAGGAAGGAGCAAGAAGCAGTTGCCCCAGTCCCTTCTACAACCCCAATCTTGTGGCCTACTCCCTGGGAATGAGTGCCTTTGGGGTAGTTATCCAGTAGTGCATGTGATCAGGGACTGGAGAATGCTCCTATTTCTGCTTCTATGTTCCCTTTGCTGCTGGAAGAAGCCTCTGGGAGTTTGGGGGGTCAGAAATGTGACTTAGGAGGTTCCCAAGTATGTTCCTAGGAATGCTGCCTCCTGCAGGAGCCAAGGAGACAGGAAGGGACTCTAGGCCTGGGGTGCTTGGACCTAAGCCTGTGGGCTGAAGGGACTGTGTCATGAAGAGGGGCTGGCAAAGCAGAACATGGGATTCTGGCTGTGGATCACCTGACTGCTTGCCCTGGCTTGGGGCTGAAGTCCCAGGGACTGGTCTCAGGAAGATAGCATCCTGAGGAAAGAGTGCCAACAGGTTTTGGTCTTCTCCCATTTCCTTTCCCTTCCCCTCGTTGTAGGGAACTCCTTAACCTTGTAACCTGAAGGGCTAGCTCTGGCAGTGAAGTGCTAGCAAATGCTTTCTCCCCTAGAGGAGACCAGGCTGAGCTGACTCCCTGCCTTGGGGGAGAGGTTGCTGTGATCTACTGGCTCTACTTTGGGCAAGAGGCCTCTAGCTGGGGCTTGTGTATGCTCTGGATCCTGGGAAGCCACCTGTAGGGACACTAGAGTGTCAGTAGAAGTTGAGGATCAGGAATGGATGAAGGAGGCTTAATTCCTGGAAAATGTGTCACTAGGCTCCAGACCATGTTATATCCCCAGTTCCTTGAAACCAGGTGTCTCCAGGACAGCTCTGACCATGCTGCTACACTGGAGCTTGGCAGGGAGGCTCTGGATGGGTGATGGGACAGAACAGCTCCAGTGCCCCAGCGGCTGGTGCCCTGGTTTCTCCTGTCCCAGGACAGCAGGGGGCTTTGTGAAAATCAGAGCAGGAACACAGGAGAGGAACAGAGAGCCTTGTGCTCATGACTCAGAAATGCCCAGAGTAGGGTGGGGGCCTTGTGAGGGGATAACCTTGTGATGAGAGGGAACAAGAGCAAAAGCTGGAGGCAGAAGTTTGAGATGGGGGCCGTCAGAGGGGCTTTTCTAAAATGAATACACAGGCAGATTTTGCAACACCCCCAACCCCGCCTGCTATCTTCTCACATGTGTCCCTGCCCCCGCCTGTTCCCCTGCCCTACCCTGTGCTTCCTCCCATCTTTCACCAAACCCCCTTTCTTGTTCAGCTTTCCCATCCTTCTCCCTTCCTGTTCGTACTGTCCTCCCCCACCCCCTGTGTCCACTCTTTCCCTGTTCCTCTGTTCTCCTCTTCCCTGGTGCCCTGTTCATGTCTGCTTCAGTCCCTCTGGCAGCTTGCCCTGGCCCCTGTCCTCTGCTTTAATGTAGGCCCATGGGAACTGAAGTTCACAGCAAAACAGGAAGAGCCTTGAGCAGGAAACTGGGAATGGGTCAGGGGGTGAACAACCAAGAGTAACCTCAGCTCCTGCCTCGCACATCCGAGCTAAAGCATCTGCAGTGCTCTGGGCCTCTCCCTGCAGCCCACCAGCCCTGGCTCCTTCCCTCTCACTTCACTGGCTCATCAGACCTGAGAAGAAACAAGACAAGAACGTCCTGTACTCTGATGCCAAGAGAAAAAGAGCACAGGGACTGGAGTGGGAACATCTGGATTCTGATCCCAGATCAGCCGCTGTGTGTGGTCTTGCGTCTTGCGAGGCCCTCATATGAGCTTCAGTGTTCCCTGTAAAATGGAGTTGATTTACCCTCCCTCCCTCCTGGCAGTGCTCTAAGGACTGAACAAGATGGTGAGGGACTTGTATATAGAAACAAGGACCTGGAGAGTGATGTATAGCTTCATGTGGATAGGAAGACCTATATCTGAAAGGATTGGAGTGGTAAGGATAAACACTGCCAGTTCTTGAACACTTAGTATTTGCTCTGATACTATCTGCTTGAACACGTATACATGGCAAAACTGTTATCTCCATTCTATTTATTTTTTCTTTAAATTTTAATATTTATTTATTCTTTTTTAGTTTTCAGCAGACACAACATCTTTGTTTGTATGTGGTGCTGAGGATTGAACCCGGGCCGCATGCA